AAACTAATAAATAAATATAACAAGTGAAAAGGCGTTAAGTTCGGCCGGGCCGAACATTGGATACCCTCTACCATAGAAATACTGAAATTTTTTTGAAATGAAAATATAGGGAACATACATATAACTACAATTCTACCAATCCATTGTTGTAAACCAAATAGATATTTCAGCAAATTCAATGGGGGTTTTCTCTAAAATCTCAAAACCCCAAAATGTTGACATAGTAGGGTGTGTATAAAATCCACAGTAGTGTATAAAATCTTGAAAATACTTCAATTTAGAGGGCAAATTTATATGAGGCATACTAAGCCGGGACCAATATTGACAACATTGTGTAGGAATTAGCGAATGCTTGGTGTTTTCATTATATAAGAGGTTATGCCTTATTAATGGCCCATATAGCTCAAGTTCCAAGCTAATAATTTAGTTTTGAATCCCAATACCGTGCATCACACTAATAATTAAATATGTTGGATGTTTTATATAGCACCTGGGTCTAAATACGGGTCGATATAGTTCATTCTCAAACCTCACGTTCTAGTTTTTATGTCGATATCCTCCGATCGAAAAATGATTACAGCATATGGCCAAATCGACTAAATCGTTTTAGAATTCCATACTATGCAGGGTATGAACGGAAAATTGCATCTACAGAATATCCCCCATTCTATAGTGATATGGGGATAACCCCAGCTATATGGGGATAACCCCATCGCACGGAACAAATTAGCTACCTATTTTAATATAAAAAGGGGTCATATGGGGACCACCCCTAAAATGGGGTGAATATTAATAATTTTTAGTAGGGAGATTTGTTACCATATACGTCTACAAACTACCAAATTACAGCAAATTCGGTTGAAAAACGCGCTCAAGAACCCCAAAAACCCCGAAAAGTGGGGGGGTATCAGAAAAAGTGGACCGATGTTTATATTTTTTGTTGGGGAGATTTGCTACCCAACAAGAACTCAAAATACCAAATTTCAGCGAATTCGGTTGGAAAACACGCTCAAGAACCCCAAAATACCAAAAATTGGGGGGTACCCTTATATGGGGGCTATCATAAAAAGTGGACCGATGTTTATAATTTTTGTGTATGTATTTGGCACTACATAAGAACCCAATGTACCAAATTTCAGCGAACTCGGTTGAAAAACGCGCTCAAGTTCCCCAAATTACCAAAAATTGGGGGGTACCCTTATATGGGGGCTATCCGAAAAAATGAACCTATATTTATAATTGTTTGTGGGGAGATTTGCTACCCAATAAGATTTGCTACCCAATAAGAACTCAAAATACCAAATTTCAGCGAATTCGGTTGAAAAACGAGATCAAGAACTTCAAAATACCGAAAATTGGGGGTACCCTTATATGGGAGCTATGCCTAAACGTGGACCGATATATCCCATCTTCGAACTTGACCTGCCTGCAGACAAAAGACGACTCTATGCAAAATTTTGGCGATCTATCTCAATTCGTTTAGACGCTAGAGTGATTACAACAGACGGACATGCTTAACTCGTCATAGAATTTTACTCTGATCATGAATATATATACTTTATAGGGTCGGAAATGATCATTTCGATGCGTTACAAACGGAGAAACAAAACTAATATACCCTCCATACTATGGTGGAGGGTATAAAAACGGTAAAGAAAGTCCAAAAGTCGGACGGGGCAGACTATATGATAGCCTTCACCACTTTGGGTACATACAAGAGATTTCAATATCTACAATATCCTGTATATAGAACAAACATAGAATATTTGAAGGACCATTGAGATGGAATCGGGGAAAATTAAATGTGCTATCTAGATAGATATTTGTACCAATTAAATAACCCCATAAACATACCATTCTGAAATCAATAAAAATTGCAAGTCAAACGGGCAGACTTAGATTCTTTGCTGTACCATTTGTATGAAATGGAATAAAATTATGTATGGGAGCTATATACACATGGACCTAATTGAGCAACCGTTGCATTCATCATTTGTTTTTTGTTATCACTCTACATTCAATTTAATACTCTCTGCTACATTTCGAGTAAATCGAACAAACATAGGCCCTTCGGTCCACTATTTACATAAAATCGAATGAAAATATATATAAGACCATTATCAAAATCTGAACCGATTTCAACAAACCTTATCACACATCATTTTTTTTCTCAATTGCATTCGCTCAGCAAAATTTTGCTCAATCAGACAAATATTGGGAGTTTGGTGTATAATTCACAAAAAATCGGACGAAACTATATATGAGAGGTATATCTACATCTGAACCGATTTTGCCCTGGGGCCAAATAAGTGAACTGGGCCAAAATTCATCCAAATCGGATCATAAATAGGACCTGGATTTTTTTCGGTCGTTCCCACGCCACGCTTCCTTTTGAGAATATGCATAGAATCACTTTCTGAGTCGATTTACGCATGACCGTCTGTTCGTCCGACCTGAACAAAGTACAGGTCGCATTTATGATCCGATTTGGATGAAATTTGGCACAGGTCACTTATTTGGCCCAAGGACGAACCCTATTGAAATTGGGAAAAATCGGTTCAGATTTAGATGGTCCGATTTAATGTAAATGGTGCACCGAAGTCCCTATATATCTTTCGATTTGAACGAAATTTGGCAACGCGTATTGAATTAAGGGAACCCCCCCCCCATTCTCGATTTGAATTTTTTAAGATTTTCAATGGGCTGGTAAATCAATACCAATGCTTGTTAAGGTTTGTAACTTTGCACATATATAATTGAAGATTTAAAAAAAAAGAAAAATAATTTACAAAAAATTTTTGTTATTGTATTGTTGTTGTTTTTTGTAATTAAAGAAAAGTCCTTATTTTTGATGGCGGGCATGATAACTCCTCACTGGAACATCGGAATCCGAAAATTCCAACGGTGTTAGAAAGAGTACATGTCTGGCTCTCGTATGAACTAGGATTATTGACTTCGCTCTAAAATTACCAAAATGGTGGACCTTTGAAAAAATATTTTTGCAAAATCACCGATTTTTGACCAAAAACCAAATTAAAAAATAAGGAAGATCTTCACCGATTGGCTTTATCCTAGTTCATACGAGAGCTATACACTCCCAGAGAAACGATGCAAAATTTGGAACCGATTGGATTATTAGTTTTTGAGTTATCGTGCCCGCCATTCGCAAAAAAATGTTTAGAGAAAAACGCGTTTAAAGTTTGAGAAACCCTTTAGCCGTCACTTGATGCTGACACACTAAATCGGATATATCTTCAACAGTTCTTGAGATTTTCACTTGAAATTTTGTAGAGACATTCTTTAATCAGTGTAGATTCGAATTATATCAACAAAAATTTTGACCCCGAGAATGGGGGGGGGGTCCCCTAAAGCCTAGAACGACGTGTGTTAAATTTCCTGAAATTCGTCCGATTTAGGTAAATAGTGCACCAAAGTCCCTATATATCCTTCGATTTGCACGAAATTTGGTACAGTGTACTGAATTAAGTCTGGAACGATGTTTGTTAAATTTCGTCAAAATCGGTTCAGATTTAGATATAGCTCCCATATATATTTTCGTACGATTTTAGGTAAATAGTGCACCAAAGTTCCTATATATCCTTCGATTTGCACGAAATTTAGCACAGCATAATGAATTAAGTCTAGAACGATGTGTGTTAATTTTCGTGAAAATCAGTTCAGAATTAGATATTGCTCCCATGTATATTTTTGTTCGATTTTAGGTAAATAGTGCACTAAAGTCCCTATATAACATTCGAGGTGCACAAAATTTGACATAGCGTACTGGATTAAGTCTAGAAAGATGTGTGCTAAATTTCGTGAAAATCGCTTCAGATTTAGATATTGCTCCCATATATATTTTTGTCCGATTTTACGTAAATAGTGCACCAAAGTCCCTAAACATCCTTCGAGTTGCGCGAAATTTGGCATAGCGTTCTGAATTAAGTCCAGAACGATGTCTATTAAATTTCGTGAAATTCGATTTAGATTTAGATATAGCTCCCATATATATTTTCACCAGATTTTTTGTAAATGGTGCACCAAAGTCCCTATATATCCTTCCATTTGCACGAAATTTGGATTTATAAGTAAATGAAGAAATCAAAATGTTGCCGAACATGTGACAAGTTTCGATGAAATCGGTTTAAATTTCGATATTTTGCTTTAAATTTATTTACATAATTTTGTCCCATTTTAAGAAGCAACTCTATATCTGACCAAAATTTAGTATAGGTTGCAGAATGACATGTTTAATTTCATGTTAATGGGCCTTCAAAAATGCGACGTCTGTTAGGATCCCATCTGTTGAATATACCCAAAGTGGTGAAGGGTATCATATAGTCAGACCCGTCCGACTTTACTACTTTCCTTACTGGTTTATGATATTTTTGTTTGGTGTGGGTTTTAAAAGTGCTCGCGAATATTTGTTTTCAAAAGAATGTTCTTCAGCAACAAATGCTCGCGAACGAACGAATGGACGACGCTTGCAGCGAAATTTTATCGTTCGTGAATTTTTCGCACAATGCGAACATTCGCGAGAGATTGCAAATGCTTGTTCATTCATTGTAACGTTATCATTCGCGATAAATTGAAAACATTAGAATTCTCGCCGTGAGCATTCGTGAGAAAGAGCGTATTTTAATCATTCTTCGCACCCTGATAAAAACCCGAATATAATACGTAATATTTCCACTGGGCCTCATAAAAGCCCTCCATAAATCGTCATAACTGCTCAAAAAGTCAACGACGTAAAATCAGTGATAGTGGATCCTTAATAGTCCTATATAAATATTTTTATTAAATTACCTCAAAACCCCTATACATTTTAAAATATGTACATGTACATACATCCTGGTGATGACATGTAACATAAACATAAATCTAAATATGCAATATTGCTATAATGTGTTAAACTATAACAGCTTTATTATGTCGCCTAGTAAAACATCATAAATCAATTTCTCACCCATCCTCCTCTTCCCCATTTGTCCTTTTTTCAGGTTGAATATGCCACCACAGAATCGGTTGTAACAGTAGACTGGGAAAATGGTTTCGCTGAAGTGTCAGCGGCAAGGAACGAAAATATCACTCAAGTAAGTACCGAACCCAAAACCCCCTCTACATTGCCCATAACATTTACAACAACAAAATTATCAACATAATACAGATTATTGTTATTTCACAACAAAATATAAAATATAAACAAAAAGACAGCGAATGTCTAACTAACTGTTGTTCTCGTTTCATTTTTTCAATATCCTTTCTCTCTCTTTTGTTTTTCGTTTTTTTTTTTTCACCGCCAAAACAATAGGTCTTCAAAGAGCTATTATCACAGGCAAAAATCACGTACAATTTAAGTCCAGCATTACGTCGACGCCGTCAATCGTTACCACAACAAGTGGGCAATAATGGAGCGGGTACACCGACACACCACAACCATCCATCGTCACATCATCATCACCACCATCCGCAATCGCACTCATCTGCCTCGTCGTCATCATCATCCGCCTATGGTGGTGCAGCAGCCGCCCATGCACCAACGGCAGCCCAATTGCAACATTTGCAGCGAATACAGGAACGCAGTTTGGGTAGCAAACGTAATTCATGTGCAATTTCCTAAAAATGTCAGCAACAATAATAATAGCAACAGTAACAACAACAAGCAGCCGCTACCACCAACCAGCAGCATCACCAACAACAACAACAACAGCAATCAAAATAAACTAAAACTAACAACAGCTAAAGTGTTTACAAAACGGATACAAAAATCCTTTAGAGACATGCAAACATAAACATCCATCCATACATATACCTACATACCTATATATACATAGTTAGATGATGATATAATACATGCATGGATATAAACTTTATACATATATACATATATTTTAAGTACATTTATCAAATGAATACAGTACAGTGGTGGGAATTTAAATAGGAAAACGTTAATGATGAGGTTCTCATGAAGAGAATTGTGTTATCAAGGATCTCATGAAGGAACTTTAATGTTTAGAACACCAACTAAAGGATAGCTCATCTATTAATAAATACCTTATGAAGGTTCTTCCCTTTCTAGAAGACTTCTGCACGGGTCTTCTCTATCGAGCAGAATTTATAAAGTTTTTACTTTTTATAGAAAACCTTATGTCATAATTTCTACAGAAAACCTTGAGGAGGTTTTCCTATGTATATGACGGGTTTCCATCTTTAGAAATATTCATGAAGGATCTTCTATCTATAGAATAGATACAATATCTCCAGAAACCCTTAAGAAGGATCTCTTGAAGACACCATGAAGGTTCTGTACAAGACTTCTTTATCTGCGGTATACCTTATTACTATTTAGAACATACTTCATGAATAATTTTCTATTTGTGGAAAACATCATGAAGGACTTCCTATCTATAAAAGTCTTCATCAATGTTCTTCTATCTGCTGAAGACCTCAGTAAGGGTCTTCTATATGTAGAAGAGCTCATGAATATTATTCTATCTATAAATGACTCGTAAAGCATATTTTATCTACAGAAGATTTCAACAATGTTCTTCTATCCGTAAAATACCCCAAGGAGGGTCTTATGTATGTAAACGATCTCATAAAAGTTCTACGTCCATACAATTCCTCACGAAAGAGAACTATAGAAAATAATATTAGGGTTTCTATATAAAGTAGATTTTATAAAGGGTATTCTATCTATAGAAGATTTCTTGAAATGTATATTATCTATAGAGGATCTCGTGAAACGATATTTAAAATTTATTTTATTTATTTTTTGACGACATAGGCATGGAGTTGTGAAAAATATTTTTTTAAGGACTCAACCTAGCTGCGAAGTTCTTTAAAAGATTTTTTTATATGCCATATTTTTTCATTCACCAACTATAGGCGTGGATTTTTTAAAAATATTTTTTCATCCATATACCATTTGCATTTTGTTTTTGCAAAATAGTCAAGCTGAATCCCAGTTTGTTGTTTTTATAAAAAACAACTATTTATTAGTGCGGAACGTATGGCATTGTTCATTCACCTAACACAGGCGTGAATTTTTTAGAAATATTTTTTCACCCACCTAACATAAGCTTGTATGTTAAAAAAAAGTAAGGAAAGTTCAAAATCCGGACGGTGCCTACTATATGATACTCTTCACCACTTTGGGTACCTGTCTGAAATTTATGAAAAATCGAATTTCAATCATCGAGCAAAATATGTAAAAGATCTATATAAATGGACACAGTGTGCTATCCAAAATTTATCTCGACACAAAATCCAATACAAAACTTGACATGCATCAATTTAGACTTAATTCAGTACTCTGTGCAAAATTTTGTCTCAATCGGACAAACATCTATAGTATGGTGCACCATTTACAAAAAAGCTATATCTAAATCTGAACCGATTTAAAAAAAACTTCGCGTACATCAATCTGGCCTAATTCAATACTCTGTGCAAAATTTTGTCTCAATCGGACAAATTTCGGCAGTATGGTGCTCTATTTGCATAAAATCGGACAAAACTATATATGGGAGCTATATATAAATCTGAACCGATTTCAACAAAACTTTGCATATATGAATCTAGACCTAGAATCTAGCTCTATGCAAAATTGTTCTTAATGGGACAAATATTGGAAGTTTGGAGCATCGTTTAAAATCGGACGAAATATGGGAGATATATCTAAACTATTTCTCATATGTTTATTCATCCACCTAACATAGTCGTGGATATTTTCAAAAAAATCATGGACCTAAGCCTGAATTATTTACGCACCACGTAACATACAATATTGAATAAAATTTTGGACTCTAGCTTTTGACATGGTTCGGTCAGTCAGAACATGACGGCATATTTACATGTCTAAAAACATTTACATGTACATCAACATAATCATGATATTTTATATTTGTTATGGACCCATCATAGGCCTCGAATTCTGAAAACCTGGCATTGGCCTGAGTTTTTAATACCCTCCAATAAATCGAAATATTTACCGGACACCTCACAAAGCATTCCTGTAGATTTAGTAATGTCCGTTTGTCTGTCTATCCGTCTGTTAAATCACAATAGAAATCGCAATAGTAAGATAGAGCCCTGAAATTTCGCACAGACATTTCTAGTACTAATAGGATATCTGGTATTGCAAATATCATATATCAGTCCAAGTTTTGATGTAGATTTGATGGTTGATTTAGTACCGACTTGACTGTAATTTAGTATTTTGAGTTCTTATTGTATATTACATATCCGTGCTAAAAATTATTATTATTGACCGAAGTTTCAAGGTAGCCACCAAAATTCGTTATTTAGGGAATTTTGGACATGTTTTTCTACCGATATGGCTTTAAATTCATATTTTGGGTATATTAGTATTTTGGGTTCGCAGAGTATAGAACATCCTTGTACTAAAAATTTCTAATATTGAACCAAGTTTAAGTGTAGCCCCAAATATAATTGTACCCCCACATCTCATTACTAACATGATTTCACTACCCAAAATAATCAATATTGATCCCCGTTTCGACTTAGCCTGATAAAACCCTAGCTCCTCTATTAGGTAATCATCTCGTTCTCATGTATTTTTCGGTATATTGAAGGTCCTATAATAACCCCTATTAATTTTATATATTTTGAATGCCATCTTCATGGTGGAGGGTATAACAAATTTGCCGGGCCGACTTTTTTTTTGAAATATAAATACATCTTATTTATATAAATTTTGAGTCACTAATATTGAGAAATCTCCGTATAAAATCCGTCGCTATATATATTTTTATTATTATTTAACCCTTTGTGTCCCAATGTTGCCTACAGGCAACAAAATGTTTTAGAGCTTGTATTTAATATGCCGCTAGCAGATGACTATGGACGACACGTATCAAAAGAAAAATCAAAAACATTCAAAATGTTGATAAAGTTATGAGCTTTTCAATATAGAGAAGAGATAAATTTGTATACAGTACTAATTTGTGTATACAGTCCAAATTATTTAAATCGCATCGTATTCAAATTGTACGAATTCTGCCGTCAGAATTATTTTTTTTATCCTTGTAAAAATTAATATAGAGAATAATTTAAAATTATTTTTTGACAATTTTGTATTTATTTTTCTTGATATTGGACTTTATTTTTTCCGAAAGAATGTACTGTATCCCCCGAATGCAAGGATGTAGCGATGTCAAATTTTGTGCATTTCCTCTTTAGGATACTTGCATTAAATCTGTGAACAGAAATTGTTCTAAGATAGCGGAAAAAATCGGGGCTCAAAGGGTTAACAATTCTTTTTCAAAAACATTTTTATGTCCTTGATTTTAAAACAATCTTTTTAAAAGCTTACATTCTCAATTTTTTAAATACCTTTTGAAAAACTTAACCCCAGGCCTTTATTATATATATTCCCATAAATATGGTATAACGTTTCCATAATTATTCCTGATAATGGGCATTTTAATATTTATAGAAAATCTTCAATATGGTTTAGATTATTACATCTACAGAGGCCTCTTCAAATATCATGCATTCATAGAAGACTTTATAAATAGTGTACCTATTTAAATGTCTATTACTGTACTGAAAATCACATTTATTACCCTGAAATCGATGTTAGCATGTTTGTATGTATCGTATGTGTGTGTGTGTATCATAGAAAATGAATCAAGTATTGTGGTGTAGTGGTACTTTATACAATGTTTTCTATCTCTCTGTTCTGTTCTGTCTGTCTTTCTCTCTGGCAATTTCTGTTCTATGATATCGTTGTCCTTGATAACAATCATCCTAACCATGATGATGTTCACAACGATAATGAAGATACTTTCAAAAATAGTTTTTATTAACAAAATTTCAAAATACATTTTATATAGAGAAAATAGATTCCTGTGGTTTTCAATGTAAATGCACAGAGCACACACAAAAATCCCTTTTAACATGTTTTTGTTTTGGGTTTTTTTTAAGAAGCAGATGGAGATGAAAACGAAAGTGCATAATAAAACTAAAATAAACTGTAATTGAATGAGAATTTTGTTTGACATAGATAAGAAGAATAAAAAATAACAACAACATCTAAAATTTTAAATCTTTTATAAATATAAAAAATATTGTTTTTTTATTTTTTTTTAAGTTTACTAATTCAGTAAAGATAATAAATTATTAATTTATTTTCTAAAACTTAAAGTGTATTAAAATATTTCAATGTGTATTGTCTAACAAAAATATATAAAAAAGTGTACCATGGAGTAATATTGACTAATATTTATTTTCTGAGAAGACTCCACATATTGAATATACCTCACGGAAATTGTTCATATAACCTCATGTCCTTTATATACATATACAGTAAAGTACGGTTATAGCGAAGTAGTAGAGACCAAACAAATTAGTTCGTTACAGAAGAAATTCGTTATATCCAAGGTAAGGCAAAACCTAGGATAAACAGAAAAAATATATTCAGTTTCAAAATAGGCAGTATTTGTATCCTTTTTGACAATACTAAGATGCTTTTCTCTTTCTTAGATGATCCTGACATTTTTAGTAAAGTGTTAGAGTAAAAATTAACACTTGTGTGTATTAGGTATCGTTGAGTGTTAAAATTAAAATAAAAGAAAACTAAGAGTTGGGGCCGTATAAATAGTTCGATATAAACAAGT